TTCCTTGGTAAGACCTGCGTTTCACAGCAGAGCACGTTAAGAGGCACGGTTGGGTACAGGCAGGAGGAGCAGAGTCCCTGCTGGAACAAAGAATAAGGAGAGGAAGCAGGCTGTGCAATCGCATAGGAACAGCGTGGAACTGCAAACAGTACAGAAGCTGATAGTCCCAGGGAGAGGGGACAGGGCACTGGCACAGGGAGGAAGTGGCGGTGGCCCAGACCCTGTACCAAGTTCGGTGTTGGCCACGCTAAACACGTATGCATACAGCAGTAGCCCTGACCCACAGGTCCACTCACCCACGGGTAAGCACGACCCACAATCTTAATTATGTCCGACTTTCCAGTGGGAGAGGCCACACTCACAGTGGCACCGCTCCCTCGTTACTGTACACACACTCTCCTGCACACTCGTGGCAGGGTGGCTGGGGCTCTCTGCGGACTTTCCTCAAGGCTGTTCTTCTCTAACAGGAAGGACACCGACTTCCCGTCCCTGACCACGCGCTCCACCCTGCACACACAGCCAAGAGCAGATCCCAACTCCCCTGCACCTGCCTGTGAGTCTGGGCCACGGCCACCCCCTGCCTGTGTCCCTTCCTGTGCAACGGCCACAACACTGACTCCTGGGGAAGCAGAGGAAGGGGGACCCGGGAGGGCAGGGCCGGCCTGGGCGGCGGCGGCGGCAGGAGCTCCCTCGGCAGGAAGGAAGCCCGCCAGGCTCAGGCTGTGCTCCTCTGTCTCACTCCTCAGGACCTGCTGTTTCTCCTGTCCTCCCTTCCCTAGTTCCTGCTTTCCCCTCCTCACTGTAACTCGATCTTTCAAAACCTGCCCAGCTGACCTTGCCCTTGAGCCCGGCTGAGCCAGGTTTCACGAAGGCAGAGGGTACTGAGCCGCTGCATACCCAAGTGACCCCCTAGATGGTCACCTTGGGAAAGTATCGGCTCCCACAGGGCCCGCCCAGCCCTGCCCTGTAGTTTGTTTTTTGTTTTCCCCAATGCTGGGGACAGAACTCATGACCTCACACCCTAGGCAAGGACTCCACTGCTACACCCTCGGCCCCTTAGGGGTTTCCTTTTACCTCTCATTTACTTGATCCTTTAAAGGAAAATGGGGATGGTTTGTAGGGAAAAGGGAAGCAAGCTCTTCCCAGATAAATCTATCTTTAGGGGTGGGGGATTTAGCCCAGTGGTTCCGCCGCCTGCCTCGCAGGCACAAGGACCTGAGTTCAATCCCCAGTACCAAAAACAAACAAACAAATAAATCTATCTCTAAAGCCAAGATTCCTGGTTATAAAGTGCTAGATAAATAAAAAATTGCATACAGATGTTAAAGGATAGAAAATGGATACGTTTTGACTTCCACGTCTTATAACATTATGGAGACACATAAAAAAAGAAGGTGTGCTTTACATTTCTATCCACATTAAGATGTGAGCGAATCATATGAAAATCTGGGCTTCAGAGTTCTTTTCTGCAAACCACCATCAGGCAGCCAGGGCAGTGACAAGGCTACAGCGCAGACGAGAGGTTCCTGCGGCCTCAAGCAGGTCTGCCCTCCTGACAGTAACTGGGAGTCTCAGACTGGTCTGAACTTTCAACCTCCCTGTCTCAGCCTCCCTAGTGCTGGGATTATAGGTGTACACCACATGGCCAACTTACATAATTCTTTTGATCTAAAATGTTATTAAAATGCTACTCTCAGGCAGCTGTGCTGGTGCACCCCTATAATCCCAGTACTCAGGAGGCTGAGGCCAGAAGATTGTGGCAAGTTCAAAGGCCAGCTTGGACACTGCCGTAAATTCAAGGCTAGTCTCAACTATATAATGAGACCATCTCAAAAAAAAAAACAAACCTTAAATTTAAATTTAAAAATAAAATAAAATGCTGCTCCTCAGTCAGCCCTGCTTAGGGTCCCTGAAAGTAGAGATGGCATTTTTCCTCACTCTGAAGCTCAGCCCAGGCCTGGACTGGATGAGCGGCAAACGGAGATGCCTCTAAAACACACCCCGAGAAACACAAGCTGCATCTTCACTTCCGGGCTCTGGGCACAGGCCTTCAAATCACTGTGCACCAGAACCCAGTCTTTGGAGAACTTGGACCAGGAAGTGAAACATGGGTCCCAGGTCAAACGGGCCCTATGTCCTTAGCGTAGCTCCATGTCCCAGGCAGAACAATTTCTAGGGCCCCAGGCTGCACCACTGCCCTGGAATTCCTGGTTTAAAAATTAACAGCAGTAAGGGTGTAGTTCACTTTCTACTAGCCGGAAGACTCCTGAGGATGGTGGCCAGGTGTACTGTTGTGTTAACTCCTCTGAGAGGCAGAACTTCCCGCCTGCCCACGCCTTCTGCGCGGAGCAGCAGGGATTGTCCGTGACCGAGCAGGAAACAGACACGGCGCTCGCCAAGGGCACAGGAACAGCCGGCAACAGCCAGGCAGCGCCTGCGAGGATCCAGCCGGGAGGCAGGGCGGGTGGGGACACCAGGCGAAGTGAGGATGCCCTGCGGGTGCCCGGCCAGCAGAGCACAGGCAGAAAGGGTCCTTGGGGAGGACTCGCCAAGGAGAAACCCAAACCCCAGGCAGAAGCACTCTCGACCAGGAGGCCAGGGACGGGCAGCCGAGGAGGCCGGAGCCCAAGTGCAATGCGGACGACACAGGGTCAAGAAGGACTGCACAGCTGGCTCTCAGGGAGGTGAGACGCTGGATGCTGGGACAGAGGAACGACCGACTCAGCTGATGGCCTATGCTTTGCAGCCACTCTGTCAGGCCTCCTAGGCTCTGAACCTCTCTTGAAGAAGCTCGCTCCCTGTACACAGGGCTGCATTTGCCAAGCCACAGAAATGGCAACTAACAAGCATCCGGGGCTCCCAGGACCACCAGGTCCCAGCAGCCCCTCTTCACCTGTGCATCCTCTGCCCGGCCCCCCGGCCACTGGGCACCCTGCTCTGCCCCGTGGCCGGTGTAGCCCCTTGGGGAAGCTACTCACGGAGGCCGTGGGGAGCCGCTGTGTGCAGGCCACGGGCAGCCGCAGCTTCCAGTCCGTCTCCCCGTCCAGCTGGTCCGTCCGCAGGAAGCAAGAGCCTGTGGAGGGAAGACGGGCACCACCCAGTCACCTGCGATCCGGAGTCCTTCTCCAGGCACCTCTGGGGACCTCCTACTCTGCTCTTCGTGAAAATGGCCCATCCACGGCCAAATGGAAAATAAATACTCTACTTCCCCTCTCTCCATGAGCTCTCGGCTAGAAAGATCTGGCTCCCAATTCTAGTCGCCGTCACCTGCTGGGGCACCCTGGGCCGGCTGGCCCTGCTAAGCCAGCATCCTCATCTGCAAAACGAGACAGACACAGTCCTGCCAAGCTTGCTGGAAGAGCCTGGGGTGCCCAGCTTGAGGCCGTGACAGGCAGGGGCTCTGAGGCCCGGCCTCTGTCTGTGCCTCCGTTTCCCTGTGAGGCATGCTGGAAGCGACAGAGCTGCGCCAGCATAGCACAGGCCAGTGCCGACCACCAGGAAGGAGCCGGTCAGCACCTGCAGCTATCGCAGGGGGAGCAACGCTCCCCCCAGAAATCCAACTCCAAAGGGTTCTGAAAGCCAACGTGACGTCACAAGTACAAACTTCCTTGTTATGGAGCATGGTTACTAAAAATACCGTACGACTCTAACTTCAGCCCATTTGGGATGAAACACACCAATGCGTTTCTGTCAAGACGTAGGGCCTGTCACCAAGGTATCTCAATTCCGCAATGGCAAACACTCCGGAACTGGACACAATCCAAATCTGAAGCACTTCTGGTCCCACGCGTCTCAGGTAAGGGCCCCTCCGGCTGCACTGGCTCACACGTGTCACAGTGACACGCAGGTCCACACAACTGGCTCTGCTCTACATGGCCCAGGGGACAGACTAGGCTTGGACACGGCAACTTGTCAGGAGGTCGCCCCTAACTGCTCATGTTGCTGTCAAGGTGGGGAGGGCCAGGGATTTAGCTCAGTGGCGCCACCACCTGCCTCGCAAGCGCAAGGTCCCAAATTCAATCCCTGGTACCAGAAAAAAAAAAAAAAAAAAAAAAAAAAAAAAGGGAGAAGGATAGGATGCAGAGGGCCCTCACACTCCAGTCCAGAGCGACAGAGAACCCATCCGAGGACGGAGCTGCAGCCTTTAAAAGATTGTTTTCACCTCCTTTCCTGATTACATTAGTATAAAATTTTATTTGTAACTCATAGTACAATAAATCACAAGAACCCCAAAGGAACAGGAATGTAAATTTTCCAGCTATTCAAATATCTCCAACTAGGCCAGACAGACCAAAACAAGAAACAAACAAACAAACAAACAAAAAAACCAGCTTGTTTTCTCAGAACAGCTTCAATACGAATAAAAAAGTGAGGTGGGAAGTAAATGCACTGGGTAAGGGTCTTAGAAGAGACCTTGAGAGATCTGGCAAACTGGGCTCTGATGACAAATGAACCCACAGGTGCAGTGGCGCAGTTAAACCAGCTTGTTTTCTCAGAACAGCTTCAATACGAATAAAAAAGTGAGGTGGGAAGTAAATGCGATGGGTAAGGGTCTTAGAAGAGACCTTGAGAGATCTGGCAAACGGGGCTCTGATGACAAATGAACCCACAGGCGCAGTGCTGGGCGGCTGAGGTGGGAGGCTCCAAATGTGAGCCAAGTAGCCAGACCCTGTATCAACACAAAGTCAGTAAAGGGCTGGGACAAGCTTGGCGCAGAGGCCCTGGTTTAACCCCCAGTGTCTCCAAAAATAAAACACAAAGGAGAGCAATAAAGGGATCTGCCCCTCTGCCCAGTTTTCAGAATGCCCCATCTCATAGATCCTCACAGATCTCCAGGGACAGCTCTGAAGAGAGAGCGCCTCTGTGAGGCACCTCACCCTGCTGACTCCTGCAGCTGAACCTCACCCGGCCCGAGAGCAAGCCAAGGCCCTCGGGGGCACTGTGCCAGGTGCTGGTCACCAGGATCTCTCCCCTGTGACTGGAATCTAACAGCCCCCGCCTTTTTTAAGAGTTTTTTGAGACAGGGTCTCACTGTACAATCTAGCCTGGCCCTGAACTCACTATGTAGCCCAGGCTGGCCTTGAACTCTTAGCGATCCTCCTGCCTCAGCCTCCCGAATGGTGGAATTATAGGCACGCACCACCAAGCCTAGCTACCAAAGACATTTCTAATTCGAAAAGGCTGCACCAGTAAACAAGATGTTTTCCATTTCTCTCCATGGCTCCAAAGTGATAATCTACTTTGGTCACATTTTCAAATGAATTACTTTGTGGAGTCACCCCTGAAAACTTAACGGTCATTTTCCACGCTCGTCTCTGACATTTACCGTTTTTCTCTGATGTCCTCAGGAAGATCATGTCGGCAGGGACCCGCTGGTTCTGTGGGGAAAGAAGGGAGACTGTTACTGTGACAGCCATGCTAGGGAGGAGGGGCAGCCACAGCCCATCACCCTCTTTTAAGTTTCCGCCTTTGACCGGGACACATTTGAAGGTTTATTTTGTTTCAAATCTGAAGTCCTGCACACTCCTGGGATTCCTCTAACTCCTTATCCATATTCCCTCTGGGAAGGAGGCTTCCAGTTGTCCCGCAGCTCTTCAGAGTCCAGCCAGGGGACACAGACACAGCCTGTCTCTGTAGCCAGCACCTTCCACACCTTTCACTTCCAGGCATGGTGGTGCACACCCATAATCCCAGCACTCAGGAGGCTGAGGCAGGGGGATCGCTGTGAGTTTGAGGACAGCCTATACAGTAAATTCAAGGCCAGCCAGAACTGCACAGTGAGACCCTGTCTCAAAAAGCAAAAATAAATAAGTAAAAATAAAAACAAAAGACACATGCTCTGTCCATGCGTTCTACTTCTGCCAATCCTCCAGCTCCATGTTTAGCTGTTAGAGGGATGTTCATAAAGAAGCAACAAGGGCCATTCTCAAAAACGAAACACAAAAGAGCAGGGAAGCCAACAGGAGCCACATTTAATTCTGAAGAGAAGAGCCCACGCTAACATACGGGACGGTGTGGTGCTGAGCTGCCACAAAAGTTTCCCTTCCGCTCAAGTCAACCCTGAGTCCTTGGATTTAATCCATGTAAAAGTACAGGTGACAGGGAAACGACTCCAATCTCTAATCAAATATCCCTCGGGAGCCTCGGGGCGCCGCCCACTGCACAGCTCCTGGATCCCAGGCAGGGCTGAGCGCGGCCAGAGCGGCTTTTCTTAGCGCCGCTAGGAGAGCGCGCATTCAGGCCTCTCCACTCCTCTCCTTAGGCTTCATCCGCGTTCCCCGAGAAACCCCTGGCACGCACGATGTCTGGGTCCCCAGAGGCTAATTCGGTAAACGACAGACACCGGCGGCCGCAGCGCAGCCCCCGCCCCACGGCCCGGACCCACCTTCTCCACGATGAGGAGATCGCCCACCTGGATGCTGGAACTCTTCACCTTCACCGTCCCTGCAAAGCAGCGGGCCCGCGCGTCAGTACGGCTCGTTTCAACTGTACATCGCCAGGGCGACGCAGGACAGCAGCTGACGGCCTATGTCTTCGCCCTCTGGCTCTACCCCTGCCCCTGCAGGAGGCTGCTCCTCCTTCCCGACCCCGGCATCACAGGGCACTGGGCTACCCCGTGCTCTTCAAGAAAGAGCGTCTCTCTTAACAAGGACTCAGCTTTCCTAAACTAGCACTGTGCTAGGCACAATGATGCACACCTATGATCTCAGCACCCGGAGGCTGAGGCAGGAGGGTTGGGAGTTGGAGGCCAGCACGGACTACATCTCATGAAATGGTCACCAGGCGGTGGCACACACCTGGAATCCCAGCACTGGGGAGGCTGAGGCAGGATGACTGCTGCAAGTCTGAAACCAGCCCCGTCTACAAAGTAAGTTTAAGGCCAGACTGAACTACAGAGCAAGACCCTGTCACAAAAAAAAAAAAAAAAAAAAAAAAAAAAAAAAAGCTAACCAACAATGACTGGTTTGCTTTTTTTCTCTTTTTTACAATTGTTTCAGTTTGGTTTACATAATTACGATCAGATGTGATTTCTGATGGACGCTCACCTGCAACGACAACAAAGGGTGACACTAAATGCAAGCCCTGCGCTAAGGGTGCACAAGCGTCAATAACCTCATTCAGTCCCTGCAGCAAGCACAGGAGACGGTGGCTTCAACTCAGGTTTTCAGAGGGGGAAGCAGGTTTGGGCGACTGTCCCCCAAGTCTGAGTCGGAACAGGTCAGCACCAGATTCACTTCCACATCTTCCTTTAGAGTATGGAATAAAGACCCAGGAGTTCTGCTCAGCTAAAAAACATGACACCCCAAGGGTTCAGGGAGAAAGATGGTCCTCAGGGCCAACTAACCAACTTTTGTACATTTATGTTTTACATTTTAAAAGGCAGTAACCAGCTAGGTGTTGTGATGCAGAGCCATAATCCCAGCATTCTGTGAGGCTGAGGCAGGAGGATCTCAAATTTGATCCTCGTCTGGGCAACTCAGTTACTTAGCAAGACTTTGTCTCTGATAAATACTAAAAAGGGGCTGGAGATGTAGCTCACTATGAAGGCTGTGGGTTCAATCCCTACTAACATGAGGAAAAAAGAGACAAAAAACAAACCATGCTTGGCTCTCAAGCCATGCAAAAAACAAACTAAGGGCTGAATTTAGCCACAGGCTTGGCTGCCACCCCAGGAGCTGGTGAGGAAGACAGCTGGACAGACACACGCGAGGCAGTGGCAGCAAGTCCAGTGTACCAGGAAGGCAGGGATATCCTCCTCCGAAAAAGGGCCTAGAACAGCTCCACTCACTCAACATCGAGCCCCATTTACCAAACGCCTGCTGTATGCCAAGGGTTTAGGGTTGGGGAGGCACGGAGCTCACGCTGTAGCAGGAGGAAGGAAAGAGGCAATGGACAGTGATGTGTAAGGGTGTGGAGGCGGGGGTGGGCAGCGTCAAACTCCTGGCAGCAGATCTGAGGCCAGAGTCAGCCAAGGAAGCACTCTGGTTATCAGGATCAGAGGAAATCTCAGCCTGAGGGAGAGACAGGTCCAACAGGCGTATGGTGTGAGTATGAGGGAGAGCTGGAAGCCCCTGCACAAGACCCCAACCATCACGCACAGGTGGGGAGCAGCAAGAGAGGGCAGGGCCAGGAGGTCCCACAGCCTGAGAGCAAGCTCCTGGGAAAGTGGCCTTGACTCTGGGGGCCGAATTCTCATGCAAGGGAGGAGCGATGCCAGGAAACCTTCATCGGAAGGGCTGATGCCCACAATAAACCCATTTACTTTACTGATATTCAGGGAGAAAAAGAACCCCCAAAGTATATGCCGCAGAGAAGGAGCAGAGGGTGAGTCAGGCACCTGCGACCCCGGCAGCACTTTTCACGCACCCCACCTACACCTGGTCATTAATCTGAATTTTGAGCTTCCCTTTCTTTCATTCCATAAAAAAGGGCAGGGCTGGGACTGCAGCTCAGAGGCATGGCCTCATATGAGAGAGGCCCCTGACAGAAAGATCTTAAAGACATTTAAAATAATCTACACACAACCAGGGCATGGTGGCGCACACCTGTAATCCCAGCATTAGGGAGGCTGAGGCAGGAGGATTGCTGTGAGTTCGAGACCAGCCTGGACTACACAGTGAGTTCCACCGTCAGTCTCAACTACACAGTGGGACCCTGTCTCAAAAATAAATAATGAAATAATAATAGTCTACATGCATAACTAAATTTTCACAATTTCTCCCAACAGTCTGCACTTTTAACATAATTCAATATCACATCTTTTCATTACCATTGAGATTTTGCAAAATGTTTAGAGAATTTCTACTGAAATAGCTCTCGGAAAGAGGCTACAGAAGGTCTGATTTTAACCAACTTTTGTATTTGATTAAATATGGTTACTGTCACAATAATTAGACCTGGCATCCAAAGTTCTGTACACAAACACTACTGACCTCTAGAAAGCACCTGGCCACCGTGACAGCCAGATTCATCCTGGGTGCTGCTAGGAACCAAGGAATTTCCCAGTGCAAGTGCCTTACCCTACTATTGCACATCTAGCACTTTCATAAAATGTAAGGCTGAACCAGCCCTGGACACCCCTACCCCGAGCGTCACAACACCCTGGACTTTGGGCAGTACCAGCAAATGAGAGGTGGGCCTGCCCGCTAACCCAGGGTCATGGGCAGTCTCCCTCCGTATCTACAGGGGATTGGTCCACCACCCCACGGAGGGCATAATTCACAGGTGCTAAGTCCCTGATAGAAAACAGTGTAGCATTGGCAAAAAAACCCACATCCACCCTTCAGGATACTTTAAACCATCTCTAGATAACTTATAATTAACAGAATGCGAATCCTGTGCAAATCACTGTTGTTACTAGAGAATAAGCACAAAAAGTGTCATGTTTGGCACAGAGACAACCATGGTGGACCTAACTACATGGTTACCTTGGCAACAAGGTGATGCTGCAGATAAGGAGGGGTGAAACAGAGGGTTTGGTTCTAACTGGCAGAACTCTGGCTGCCTGAAGCCCTCTTATTCCGCTAGGGGGCAGCAGCAGAGGCAGCAGGCTCGGCCAGCTCGTCCAGCAGGCTGGGGGGGCGGGGGTGGCATTCCCAGGAGGAAGGTCGTAAATTCAACCAGGCCCTGGGTGCCAGCGACAGCTTCCCTCACCTGAGCTTGCCCTACTTTCCCAAACATAAATTTACACGTTGTCTTTGGTTTTATTACTCAAATTTATGCTGCTGGGGTGACTCAAACAGTCACAACTGACTCTGGATCTTCAGGACATAGTTACAAGTTTTAAAAGCTAACTCAAAGCAGGATACAGGACTTTAACTCCCGCTAAGTAGCAAATGCCCATGGATCTGGATATATGCAAAAGAGACAGAGAACAAAATCACTAGGGGTGTCCGGAAAGGCCCAGAAGTGACCCTTTTCTGGAGAGGTGCAGGAGTTAACCCAATATTCCACATTCCTCTTTTTACAGTAACCATAAAGTTGCTTTTCAAAAAATAAACAAATTGAATTTGCTCAAAATTGTTAAGCGACCAGGCTCAGAGTTTCCCCTTCTGCAACTCAGTCCTGATTTATGATCAGTTAATCTGAACTCTGCTTCTCTTTGTCCAACTGCTCTGCCTCAAAAAAAAAAAAAAAAAAAAAAAAAAAAAAAAAAAAAAAAAAAAAAAAAAAAAAAAAAAAAAAAAAAAAAAAAAAAAAAAAAAAAAAAAAAAAAAAGCACTGATTTGCAGAGCAGTTTCTGAGGCAGCCAGCAGGCCGTCCTTCGCACAAACACTCCTCCTGTACCTGTCCCTCGGCCGACAGGCCTTGGACCCACCTCGGGGGACCCACGAGGGCCACCATCTCCAGACCCCCCCCCCACCGCACAGCCAGGGTTTGCTCATCAGCCTTCCACGGGGACCAGGGAGCCTCAGCTCTGCGGCTCCAACAAAGAGACCCTCAGACGTCCACACTCCGGCACCCACCCAGCGCCCTGACAGTAAAGTGAACTTCCCAAGCTAAGGTACCATGTTCTGGGGACCAAGACTAATGCAGCCTGGCTGCCTGCTGGAGGGGCGTGTGTTCGTACGTTCCCAATGAAGAAAAAAAAAGGAAATAAAAGTAGAGAAGCCATCTAGCAGTTTCCTAACTTCCAAACAAAGTGCACTAGAGGGGAAAAAGCATGGCACTTTGACAGTGATTGTCACGGATCTCAAAGGAGGGCAGGAACTCTCCCCAAAGCCCACCCGACTGGAAGAAAAAAGGCTCCTCCCCAGCCCTTGGCAGGGACCCTTCCCACGCTCGGGCTTTAATTATTTTCATCTCACCTTCTCTGAGACTGCAAAGCTGGAAGGAGGGTGGTTTTATGGGTGCCCTGCTGCTGTGAGCGAGCGCTCTACTGTTCTCAGTGCAAAGTTCTTTTTAGCCGTTTGCATTTCATTTTGCACTGAGCCCTGCGAATTACAGAGGTCAGGAAGGTAAGTGACAAAACCTAGAAACATCTTTACGAAGAACGTAGGGAGACGGGAAGTGAGCCCCGTTCTCCCTGCTGCTCGTTTTCAAATGCACTCGCAGACGCACCACGGAATTTGGGTATGAGATTTCTGCAGAAGTGAAATGAAAAGTTCTCTGCCTGCCACCTCTTAAACCATTAAACGTCTTCGAATAAATTCAGCCCTTTCAGCTTTCACCACTTCACCCAAGTCGTCTCACAGTCAGTTTATAGTGGGGAACAAACTTCCAATTCCTGGGTCTGTTTATTTCTACAGAGATGGACCCGAGCCTTTCATAAGCAAACCCACCGAGCCCCGCTGTGCCTTTCATGGATGACAGCTTCAGAATAAGAGCAGTTTGTCTGCATTGCAGGGAGAAACCAGATGTTTCCCTTGAGTCGAAACAAGCAAATGACAATTAAGTCAAACTGCTGAACAGCCTGGGATTTTTTTTTAAAAAGCCAAAAAAAA